TTGATAGGATTGCTTAAGATATTACCTGGCTCCCAACATTTGATTTGACTTTGTTTCAGTCTGATTATAGTAGCAATACCAGAGATCTCGTTGTTGTTAAGCTGGCAAAAAAGTATAGGTATGTGACTTTCTAGCTATATTTTCCAGATACTTTTGAGACCATATATTTCTTTGTTGTGAATACAACTGTTTGGAATCATTCCATAGACTAGGGCCTTGTTCTTGAATACTTTTCTAAACATGGCTGTGAGATCATTATATGTTTTTTCACTCAGGTATATGTTTTGTGTTCTGTATTCTATTCTTGGAATCAGCACCCTATTAATAACGTATCGGGTATGTTTTTCTGTCAATTTCTTCTTGATTATTGCCTGGACTACTGTTCTGATTTCTGATTTTATAAGACTGATAGTGTCTTGATTTTTTTGTTTTGGTCCTAGCCAGATACCAAGAAATCTAACCTGGTCCTTTTTGTTGATTTCATGGACTATAGTATCTTCTATTCTAGCCTAAACAGTCCTGAAGACTTGTGGGTTTCGATTAATAGTAAAGAGGATTGATTTCTCTGTATTGATCTAAGAGTCATTTGTTATATAGAACTTTTTTGCTTTTTCCAGGATCTTTTCCAAGAGTTTTTAATAATACTATTATTATTCAAGTTAAGAAAAATAATAAAAAATTATTTTCTTTTTTTGTTTAACTTCTAAAACTTTATTAAAAACCATGGTTAATCTATTCTCTTTAGAAGATTAATATTAATTAATTATATTTTACTAATTTTATAATTTTTAGTAAAAATATATATACTATATATTACTTAAATATCAAATAAACTAATTTTCAAGTTAGTATAACTAACAATATATTAAAACTCTTTTTGCCGATCCTCTAATTATATATAAAAAAGATATTTATAAGAAGTTTTTATACTTTCTTACTAATAAAGTCTTTATACTTTTATTAAAATAACTTGAAGCTTGTTTTTATTTATCTCTATTACTTTTCTTTACTTGTTTATAAACTCTTGAATAAAAACTTGGGTCTCTAGTAACCTGAAAAAATTCAAGTATATACTTTCTCTATTAAAGGCAAGAAGATTCTAGGAAATAAAAGAATTGACAAGTAAAGTATCATTTTATAGAGCTAGAAATTACAAAAATAGAAGTAGTAAAAGGCTTATTATCACATTCTCACATATTGTCTTGTATTTTCTTAAAGTGTCTACTGTTTTTCATGATTATTTTGGAAGATTTTGCTTATCTCAATTTGATTCTGAATTTTTAATATTATAATGTTACCTAGTATCTAATTGGTTAACATGAAATATGTTAGTAATAAAATGTAAACAAACTACTATTGATCATATTATACAGTATATTCTAATAACATTATTGATAAATAAAAAAATTGATTGATGTCTCAATTCTATCCACTTCTCTAATTGGATTAACCTATAGATCAAGTTTTATAAGACTATTAAGATACGAATAACAAGTTTTCAGGTGATAAAAAAGCTACTATTGTTTAAACTAAAATCTTTCTTATTTATTATCCTAATTAAGCAATAAGACTAAATAGTTTTTAGTTCATGCCAAACTTCAATTATTTGATTACAGTTGAGAATACATTTTCTCAAAAGTTATTGAAGAATATTATAATTGATAAAGATCCTTATCACTTTTCAAAGTTTTCTTATTATTACAAGGCAAAAGAATTATTGAGAATCTAACTTTTTGGGTAATAGAAGCTGTGCATTAATAAAATTTCTTTAACTAGATATAGTTATTGAAAGATATTATATTGAAACAATATGGTCCAGTTCTTATTGAATTACATAAGAACTTGAGATTTATTATAAGTTGCTTAAAAAAAGTTAGAATCAAATATATCCTGGAAGTAAAGGTTTCCACTAGATGATAAGTCACCTCAGACGATATACAAGAAGGAAATTAAAATCAAAAATGAATAAGTCACTCAGATGGTTAGGAAAAGAAAGAATATTCCAATTAGGTATTTTTTATTGAGAAGAGGTTTTGAAAAGTGGATCTTTGAAGAAAGCTGGAAATTTTTTTCAATTTTTACTTTTTCATTTTCTTGTTATCTACTTAGATATTTTTAAATATCTCCTCTTTCCTTTTTTCAATCCATCCTTTTATAATTTCTTGTATTTCAATAACTTGATTAAATATATGATAATGACAATTTGTTGATAATGATACAATAAACTAGAAGGGTTTTTATCCAAAGATATTGTAAAGTGAAATATTGTTTTCAAGGTTGAACTTAAAGACTTTTATGCTTATGACAAGTTAGTTAGATTAGAATAATAGTTTAGCTATAGTATGCATTATGCTGCTCAAATAAAAATATACTTATGTTTTCAATTGATTAATAAACTAACAATCTAACTTGACTATAGGTATTCAAAAAAAAAAAACCTCCCAATTTTCAAGCTTAGTATATCAAAAATCTGAATTTCTTAACTAAATCACTATCTTATCTCATAAAGCATTCATACCAATCAATAATAAAACTAGAAAATACATATTATTTATCTTTATCCATGTAAGTTTTTAGAGTTTTGTATAAATCTACGTGGATAACTATAATTATTTATGTAATATTATTAATATTGACTTATAACTTGATTGTTGAATAGTCATGTATTTAATACCAGTTCGCAAAAATTTTTCTTAAGTTTCAATAATAATAACAATTGTTTAAATAAAAGTCAAGATCAGAAATTGAGCTTAGAATGCCTAGTTTACTTTGTTTTATTTAGTTCAAACTAGTTCAAATAGTAGTTAGAAATAATGGTCACATGCTTTTATTTTATGTGATTTATGTTATGTGGCTTATCTTTCCTTTTGCACAAGTTTCTTTAGAAAATGAAACAATCGAATAAGTTGGAAACATGGGGAAACGAAGCTACTATGAACCTAACCAATATCCTCTATCAAAATATTCAAGCCTCGCCTTACTTCAAACAGTTATAGTGAGTATGTTGTCTAGATTGTGTCTTACAACTCTCTCCTACTCGTACTGAAACATCTCAAAAATAGTGAATTGAAGAACTATCATGAAGTTATCGATGAGATATATAACCACGGTAAGTATTCGAATATAGATTTTCTACTATTTATTGAAAAAAGAAAAACTAATAAAGCCGTTCTTATGTACAGTCGAATCTCTTGGTAGGCAGACCTAAAAAAATTACCTACATTTCTGACGCCGAATATCATTAAAAAGCGTTGACTTTTTTTATAGAACCTTTCTTGAAGGGTACAACAGCTTCTACAGCCTTTTGCTTATTATATAAGCTTTGGACACTCCGATTAACAGTAAAGCAAGTTACCGGCTTGATCGAACATACCGACTCACCGTAAGATCTTAAAGAAAAGGTTCTACTTCTATTATCTTTTTGTGATTTTAATTAAATTTTATGCAGACATATCCGTGCATTGGGTTTTTTGTATCTTCGTTATGTCTGCAAGCCGGCAAATTTATGGGAATGGTTCGAGGAATATCTAGATGATGAAGAACAAATCCAAATTCAAGGTGGTCCTCGGCCGGTCTTAATGTATGTATGTTCTATGGAGTATATTCGCAGCACTCTTGCTATTAATCGTGAGTTTGTTCATGATTGTGTCACGCCTCTTTTGTTTTCATTTTATCCTAAGGTTTTATTACTAATTAATTATGATTTCAGAACTCTTGGAAAAATGTGTCGCCAGTTATTGACGGAACAAAAATGGCTTGGTACCATTTTACCTCGTATTCCAGTTCCGATCGCTCGCGAAATTGAACAAAAATTAAAAGAAAGATTGCGATCGCATTCTTTACCAAGGTAGGCATAATAATCACATTTGCTTTTAGTTCATTTATTTTATTATTTTTCCCGTGATCAGACCACGATTTATTACTTAAAAGCACTGGATATAAATTGTTGATTTTCCTAAGGAATGAGGTAGAAAACAAAAATAAGAGATCGAAGTTTTTAAAATAATTTAAGCCTATACAACATTCAGTACTGAATAGAAAAAAAAATTATTTTTTATTTTATTTTATTTTTTTTTATATCATTAGGCGAGAATCTCCGTCATACGATCTAGAACCTAAATTGTCTAGCGAGCGTTCATTGAGACGTGAAGATGAAGAACGAGATTATCGACGCAGCCATACCCGCAGTCGCAGTGCCGATAGAGAGGCTTCGAGATCTCATAGACATCGCGATTATGATTATGATCGTAGGGAACGTGAAAAACACAGGGATAGGGAAAGTGATCGTGATCGCCGTCGTAGCCGTAGTCGTGAACGTCACAGGAGGCACAGTCGTGAGCGTAGAGATTACGACCGCCGTGGTAGTTACGACGATTATGAACGGAAAAGGAGACATGAGGACGATAAAGGGACAGATCGACGCAGAAGTAGAAGTCCGCGAAATTAATTGCATTCAATATTAGGTAATGTTAATTAGAAATTATTATTTTTTTTAACTGTTGTAAAAACAAACTTTATTAAGTTATAATATTAAAAGGATTATTTATTAGGTTTGGACGATAATTCGTTTGCTCAACGTAGAAAATTATTTTTATGAGTTTGGAGCTATGTTTTAGTATATTATTATCTTATTTTGCTTTTTTTTTTATAGTGTTACATTTCTGCAATATACGAATGAAATGATAATTCACATTGAGATGAATTGCGCAGCTAAACCAATGGAATTTATGTATTTTTTATTGATTCAACTATTAGCATAGTGGTTCATAAAATATAATAAAATATCTATTATTCAAAGAAATGATTATAGAATTATAATACAAAATATAATATAGTTAATGCAAAATTATACAATAGAATTTTTAATTTTCAAGAAACTAGTTTTATTATTATCACTAAATATGATTGAAATTATATTTAATTAATATATGGGTAATTATTTTTGAAAGTGAACCAAAAATTTTTAGGGTTCAAATTATATTTCAATAATAATTTGAAATTATAACCTTAAAATTATAATCCTAAAATTATAATTCTAAGAATTTTATATTTATTTTTTATTGTTTTTTATTATTTAAAATTATATTAAATAAAATAACAAAAATATAAAATAAATATAAAGTAAAACTCGTATAGGAATAAAATAGTTGAACTCAAAGCCATATATAGCTATTACCTATACTTTGGATTCTATCTTATATTTTAATTTATATACTATATATGCTTGAAATTAAAAATCTAAAAAATTTAACAACTAGTAATTGAAATTAAAAAAAAATTTTTTTTATTAGTAACTCAATATTAAGGCTTTAAGATTGTTATATTTTAATTTAATTTTATCTTAAATTGATAAAATTATTAATTTTAAAAAATTAATATTAAAAATAAAATTTAAAAAATTAAATTCTTACTATTATTTTTTATAATTTAATAATTTTAATATTACTAAATTTTTTGAAAATTTTCTTTTCAATAATATATTATTTATTAAATTTCATTGGATATTAACAAAAATTATTATATAAAATACAATTTAATTTTAATCATATATAGTATATAATTGAAATTATAATCTTATATTTTCATAAAAATTAAATAATTGTTGATATTTTTATTCAAGTAAGTAATTTTTGTTTGCTTTTATCACTTATTATTATTGAAATATCATTTGTTTTTTGCTTAGATATAGTATATTTAGTTTTTTTTTTTTTTTTTTTATATTTTTTTAATTTATAAAAAATTTTTTTTATAATATATAATATTAAATATATTAAGAGTTAAATATATAGTTCATTATTAAGTTTATAAATAATAAATATGAATAAAAATTATTTATTATTAATTAATTAATAATAGTTTTTAATTTGATATATAAATAAATTTCAAATAAATAATTATTATAAGATTATGTTTTATTTTTAAAATAATTAATTAATTCTTTAATGATATACTGTAAATATTTTGGATTGTTTTACTTTTAATAAATTATTTTAATAATACAGTTGCTTCCAAAAGTTTAAATCCACTTACTATATTTTTATTATAAATTTCAACTTTGATAATTTTTAAATCTCTAATTATATAATTAAAAATTATAAATATATATTATATATTAATACTAGTTTTATTTAATATATTTTTTCAAAATTTTTTGATATATAATTTTCAAAGTTTTATTATAATTAAAAATTTTTTTTCTTTATCAAATTTTTATTTTTGAAAGATTTTGATTGGCTGTTATCATAAATCATATAATAATTAATAAAAAAATATAGATATTTAGCAATAACAAAATTTAGAAAGTATTAATAAAAATTTTTTTTAAAAAATATAAGAAATAGAATAAGTATTAAAATATAATATATATAAATTTTATAATTTTTAAGTGCATAATTAATGATTTAAAAATTGTCAAAGTTGAAATTTATAATAAAAATATAGTAAATGGACTCAAACTTTTAGAAGCAACTGTATAT